AAATGCAGTTAAGTAAAAATCAAGAACGCAGAATATGGTGTTATCAAACTTTTAAATATATCAAGTTTGCTTTTGGCAACAAGTAACCTTAACCAAACTACGGTAAAAGCTTTCATTTAATGGACTCTCATTTCATTACAGGTTTCCATAATTCAATAAACATCCCTAGCTTCACCTCCCTGTGGACGGGCCTGTTTGCCTGTGTGTAAAGATCGGACTATAATATCCATGAAGGTCCTGTAGGCAATCTACAGATTGAGAATGGAGGATGGAAAACACCATCACTATCACAAAATAACCAAAATACTTGGATAGGATCAGGATCTGACAAAGGAGCAATGCTTCGAAAGCTGGAGTGATTTCAAATAAACCTGTTGGACTTATAAACTGGTGCAGTGTGACTTCTGACTTTGTCCACCCCAGTCCAACACCGGTAACCTCCACATCATGACTGGGATAAGAGGTAATGCACTGGCATAGATTAATGATTGGCTAACAGGCAGAAAACAGTAGCAATAAATGGGTCATTTTTACATTGCTAGATTGTCACTAGTGGGATACCGTAAGGATCAGTACTTGGACCCCAGCCATTTACAATATCTGTCAATGATTTCGAGGTCGAAGCCAAATGTTATATTTCCAAGTGTGCAAATGATACAAAGCTAGGGAATGCAAAGAAGATGTAAAGCAGCTACAGGAGGATTTGGACAGGCTTAGTGTTTGGGCGAGAACATAGCAGATGGAATATAATGTGGAAAAATGTGAGGTTCTCTAACTTTGGTTGGAGAAACAGGTGTGCAGAGTATTTCTTAAATGGTAAGAGGTGGAAAAGTATACCAAGGGACCTAGGTGTCCTTGTCAATAAGTCATTAAAGGATAATATGTGGGTGCAACAAGCAATTAGCAAGGCAATGGCATATTAGTCTTATTGCAAGACGATTTGAGGACAGAAGTACAGAAGTCTTGCTTCAGTTGTGTAGAAGTGTGGTTAGACCACACCTAGTGTAATGAGTCTAGTTTTGATCTCCTTTTCTTAGGGAAGATCTGATTGCCATAGATAGGGTGTAATGAAGATTCACCAGACTAGTTCTGGAATGGTGACACTATCCCATGAAGTAAGATTGGGCAAACTCAGCCTGTATTCTCTAGAGTTTTGAAGAATGAGAGATGATCTAATTGACTTTTGTAGTAAGCTTTATGTGGAATCATACTGAATGCCTTTGGAAATCTGCTGGTTTCCCTTTATTCACCCTGCTTGTAACATCATCAAAGAACCATGAAAAATTTATCAACAATGATCTCCCTTTCACAGAAACACATTGACTCTGCCTACTAAACAATTCCAGGCTCAGTTCTCGTCCTAGTAAGCACAGAGTGCCAGAAACAGCACAACTCAATGAGATAAAGGCAGAACCTGCTCAAAATTTTCAGCAGATCTTGCCATGTCTGTGGAGAGAGAAAAGCGGCAATTATGTTTAAAGTCTGTGACCTAATATCACAATTCTTCTGAGCTATAAATTAACACTTGTTGGAAGTGCAACTATAAATAGTAGAGGGCAAGATTAGATGCAAATCTGGTTCACTACTTCCTCTGGACATACCGTTCTTGGTTCACACGTTGAAAGACGGTTACTTGGGCAGAGGAGGTAGAGTAATATCAACACACTCCATGCCTGTGTTCACATTCTTACTGTTGAATGTATGTTATTTGAGGAAATAGCACTGATTCTGCATTTGAATACTTGCGTTTTTTGACTCCCAATGAGGTTAAGCATGTGCAATTTATATTTGAAAAAAGTTGAATTTGAAGTTTAATAAATGTGAGCAAATGAACACACCTTTTGAATGGCTCCTTACTCCTGTGAATGCTCACTGTTTTGAACATGCAATGAGATTTTGTTTTATTTTAATGAATGAGAACATAAATGCATGCTGCAAGTTGCTGTATGATCGATACTCTTGCACAAGAAATACCCAGTTGAATTGTATCATGAGATTTGTGAAATTACTGATCTAATGTTTCCTCTGGCAATGCTGTATATACTCAAAAATGCACTAGGGTGTCACCTAAGGTTAAATATTCAAACCCAGAAGTAGGATCCCTAGGCTTTCAGTCTTGGAGGTGAGTGACGAAACCTTTATCAAGTTGATTATGTGGGGATTGTTTCAAGCAAATACAGCAGTATGCAATTCAAGTGTCTCCAATCACAGCCTTTTGCACAATTTTGTGACTGCAACTAGGCGTATGATCCTCGCTTAGGGTACTGTACAGTGTCGACATGTGAGAGGTCCCGGGTTCAACTCCCGGATAAGCCCAGGTTTCTTGCTTCACTTTGCTTTCCCTGCAGGTCTAGTGGTTAAGCTTCAGCACTTTCACCACCAGAGCCTGTGTTCGATTCCCAGGCAGGGAATAGAAGCTCTATTCAGGGGCAGCCAGGTGGCTCAGTGGTTAGCACTACTGCCTCACAGCACCAGGGGCCTGGGTTCGATTCCACCATCAGGCGACTGTCTGTGTGGAGTTTGCACATTCTCCATGTACTCCAGTTTCCTCCTACAGTCCAAAGATGTGCAGGTTAGGTGGATTGGCCATGCTAAATTGCCCATAGCATCCAGGGGTGTGTAAGTTATGTGGCTTAGATATGGGAAATGCCAGGGTAGGGGAATGAGTCTGGGTGGATGCTCTTTGGAGGGGCAGTGTGGACTTATTGGGCTGAATGGCCTGTTTCCACACTGTAGGGTTTCTATGGTCTATGAAACCTATTTGAAGGCATAGACAGGGTAAATGCAGGTAAGATGTTTCCCCTGGTTGGACAGACAAGAACCAATGGGCACAATTTAAAGATAAATTATTTTATTCAGAGGGTTGTGAATCTCCACCACAGAGGGCTGAAAGTGAAATCTTTGAATATGTTTAAAGTAAAGATTGATAGATTTCTGATTACCCAAGGCATAAAAGGATATGGTGATTGTATTGAAGTATTTGATCAATTGTATTAAATGGAAAAGCATGCTTGATGGGCTGAATGGCCTGCTCCTGTTCCTATCACAGAGCTTACTCGAGGTTGAACTCCCATCTCACATATAACATGCCTAGTTTCGAGTGAGTTGCATTCTTTGTCAAACCCATGCAATACCTGGCCTGGGAGTGTTTAATGGGCTCGTGCAGAGGCACTTTACTTCATATCTAACCCATAGTGTTTGCTTGTGACAATGACTGCATCAGGTTATAGAGCAGAAACAAAAATACTTCAAACTAAATTCGAAGCTGAACAAACGTTGTTTATTTATTCTATATTCACAAAAGTAAGTAGAGAGAAAAAAAATCAAAGCAAAAACAAAATTTGTATGTGCAAAATTGCTGAATGAAGGTAATCTGGTACAGTGTCTGTTATACCAAAAGCAATAGATGCTCAATGGCTTTCAGTGTTATCATTCTCTAGAATCATTTGAGTTCAGCATGTGAGGATTAACAGTGAAGACTCTGGGTTGTAATTGCATTGTGCGAAATCTGTCCAATAGGTTCACTTTTTATCCCCTTTTTATGTCTTTTGTGTTAATTAAGGGAAGGGATGATGGTACCGGAGAGTTTCTCACATTTAAAGCTTTCTTAAGTGAGCTTGCTATCAATGTAAGGCCAAACAGGGCTTTCTGTACCCTACCTTAACTCCAGTTCCTCACTCCCACTGCCCTGACTGTACAAACCTGACTTCACTGATGTGGCCCCATTGCCCAGACCTTGCTATCTGACCCCGCTCCCACTGCTCCAAATCTATTACTTCAATCCCTGCTCCCACTGCCCTGAGCCCACTGAGTAACACCATTTTGTGTTCTGGCTCTAATCCAGTTTGAGGGTGGACAAACTAATTTAGGTAGAACCCAAAGAGGTTGGAGACCTTCTCTCTCTGAATATGGGCTGTAACTGGACTCAGGGCCCAGAGATAGACTGGCTAGTCTATCCATAGACACGCAAAGATTGTCTCCTTACTGAGCTAAGGAAGAGCTTTAAAACGAAAGGGCGGCATGGTGGCTCAGTGATTAGCACTGCTGCCTCACAACACCAAGGGACCTGGGTTTGATTCCACCCTTGGGCAACTGTCTATGTGGAGTTTGCACATTTTCCCCGTGTCTGCATAGATTTCACTGGGGTGCTCTGGTTTCCTCCCACAGTCCAAAGATGTGCGGGCTAGATGGATTAGCCATGGCAAATGCAGGATTATAGGGTAGGGAGGGTGGGTCTTGGTGGGATGCTCTTCAGATGTATGTTTTGGAGTTGATGGGCCGACTGGCCTGCTTCCACACTGTAGGGATTCTTTGAAGTCCAGGTGAAGGGCAAAGGTTTATAGCCACATTTGAGAAGGTGAGATAAATTAGAAATTAGTGGCTTGGTGAAGTCAAGCCAGGGTTTAAAGAGCAATGAAGGAAGAAAAGGATGAAGAGAAGATTGAGGAAAATCTAAGGGAATAAGCAGTTCCACTGTTCTGAGGTCCTTGCAAGGAATAAACAACAAGATAATCAGACAAACCTCAAAGTCAATACATAAGGATACTAAAAAGAGGTAATATGGTCAATGCTCCACCTTTTCAAGGGCAACTAGAGATGGACAATACATTCTGGCCAGTGCCAGGGATGCCCCTATCCCACAAATTAAATACAAGAAGAACCCACAGCAGAGCTAACTGATCAGTGATCATAAAATGGACCATGACTGATTTTTCCTGACCTGAGGCAAGAGACACTAATGCAGTCTAATACTGTTGTACTGTTTGCCTCTGCATACACCAGAAATAAAACCTTGGATCTACTGGCTGAGGTGTGTTTTTGCCGCAACAGACACTACATTTAACCAGTGAGCAAGATTTTCCACCAATTCCCAGCCTCGTATCAGTCAGTGCATTTCCCTGTGCTGTATCTGTTTCACTCAGCATTTCATTTTTTGCGCTTGTGACAGTTGATAAAGTGTCTGTAATTCACCTGGCACCAGTGACGCTTGCATGTATTGTATCTCTTTCAGTTAGGTACATTAGAATCCCATGCTTGTATCAGTTGGCATATTTCCTGCACTATGCCATCTCCTATTCTAATTCATGGTTAACCTGTATCCCTATTGCTTCCAGTATCACGAGAACAAGTGTGGTGACACCAATCATGATAATGGGGAAATCTCATCTGACTGAACTTCACTAAGTCACAGATGTAATGAGAGTTACATCACTGAACATTTTTCCTCAGCTGTCTGCTTTATTTCCGTGAATGTTTCTTGGGCCTTGGTCTTGATGGTGTCAAAGTCCATGTTTTGAATGGTCCCAAAAAATGAATCATTAGCTTCTTCCTCATCCTCATCTTCTTGCACCATCTTTGCCAGTTCTTCAGGCAGTTCCACATCTCCCCCAGCCATCTGTATTTGACTATCATCCTTGTCACTCTGAATCGTGAAGAAAAGAGACTTGTTAACCCATTAAATCCCTTCCTGCATTGCACTTCTCCCTGAAACATTGAAGATTGGAAGGTAAAATGAAAAGATATGGGCCTGTTAATAAAATGCAAACCTGTATTCCTGAAAAATACTGTTGACATGGAGGACGGCAGGGAGGGTAATGGGATCCATGCCAGGAACACGAGGCAGAAGCGCACCTATTAGATGACATGTCACATTTCCATTAATTCCTTTCTCTCATGACCACTGCATTCTCCAGAGCAACTAGACACCCTCACAACCTCACCAGAATGTTCACTCTTTAGGACTTTCAGAGGGCTTTCAATAAGGTCACACATAAGAGATTAGCTTTTTAAATTAAAGGTCATGGGATGGGGTCAGTGCATTGACATGGGTAGGGAACTGGGCAACAAACAGGAAACAAACAGTCTTTTTCGAAGTGGCAGTTAGTGGGTTGCCACAGGGATCAGTACTTGGACCCCAGCTATTTATAATTATTAATAATTTAGATAAGGGAACTAATCATAATATCTTTAAATTTGCAGACGACAAAAATCTGTGGGAGGGTGAGCTATGACGAGGATGCAGTTATGCTCCAATGTGATTGGACAAGTTGAATGAGTGGGCAAATGTATGGCAGATGAAGTGTAAATGTGGATAAATGTGAAGTTATCCACTTTGGTAGCAAAAACAGGAAGGCAGGGTATTATCTGAATGGTGATAGATTGGGAAAGGGGAAGGTGAAACAAGACCTGGGTGTCCTTGTATAGCAATCATTGAAAGTAAGCATGCAGGTTCAGCAGGTGGTGAAGAAGGTAAATGGTATACTGGCCTTCATAGTGAGAGGATTCAAGTACAGGAGAAGGGTGTTTTGCTGCATTTGTACAGGACCTCAGTGAGACTATAGTGGAGTATTGTGTGCAATTTTGGTCTCCTTATCTGAGGAAGGGTATCCTGTCCTCAGAGGGAGTGCAAGAAGGTTTACCAGATTGACTCCTGGGATGGCAGGACCAACGTATGCAGAGAGACGGGATTGGTTAGGATTATAATCACTGGAGTTCAGAAGGATGGGGGGACCTCACAGAAACCTTTAAAATCCTAACAGGACTAGACACAGTAAATGCCAGAAGGATGTTTCTGATGACTGGGAAGTCCAGAACAAGGGGTCACAGTCTAAGGGTATGTGATAGGCCATTTAGGACTGAGATGAGGAGAAATTTCTTTACCCAGATAGTGGTGAGCCTGTGGAATTCTCTGCCACAGAAGCTGAAATATTGAACACTTTGAAGAAGGAGTTACATAAAGTTCTTAGGACTAAAGGGATCAAAGAATATGGGGAGAAAGTGGGAACAGGATACTGAGTTGGATGATAAGCCATGATCATATTGAATGAGGAAATAGGCCCAAGGGGCCGAATGGCTTACTCCTGCTCTTATTTTCTCTGTTTCTATGTTTCATTCTTTACATTAATCTAGACAGTATGTGTCAACAGTCTGTTCAATTGTGGATGGCATCAGAACTGAGCCTATCCTGTTCTGTCCCAACACCACCACGTGTGAATCACTCTCCAAGCCACCCATGACCTGGAACTATTTCACTGTTTCTTCATTGTCACTGGGTCAAAATCCTCAAACTTCTTTCTCAACTGTATGCAGGTATAGTTACTCATCGCCACCTTCTCAAGAGCAACTAGACATGGGCATTAATCAAATCTGATCTTGCTAGCAATGCTCACACTCATGAACTGATAATAAAAAGCACCCAAGGCAGGGTTAACAGGACAGTGATTATAAGATGGATCCCAGCGAATTTTTTTTCTACATAGGCCAAGGACCACTAATGCAGCCTTGTATGGTACTGTTCACCTCTTAACAGATTAGATATCAGAGCTTGGACATACTGGCCCAGCTTGCCACATTGAATGCTGAACTCATCGACTGAACTATCAGGAAGCATAATTTTCCATCAATTTCCAATTTTGCTAACAATCAGTACATTTCCCTGTTCTGCACCTGTTTCACTCAGTATCTTCTTTTCTGCATCCCACCTAACATGGGTGATGCTTGTCAGTATTTTACCTTTTTCAATTGGTATATTTTCCATCCCATGCCTGTTAGTTGGGATACTTCCTGTACTACACCTGTGAGAGTCTGAACCTTTGCTGAGCTATGCTGTGATGATTGTTGTATCACATTTCTGTACATGTGACACTCAGCACATTTCCTGTACTCCACCTGAGACCGCAAGTACGTGTATTGCACCTATAACTATTGGCAGACTTTCTGCACTAAACTGGTCTTACTCTATTCACTTCCTGTACTGTATTGATGACAGTTAGTACATTTCCTGTGACACTGGGTTCATCTCCTGTCACTTACATGTGGTAGTCGATACTTCTCCCTCATGTGTAATCGAACTGTCGCCCTTTCTGCTTTTTTTTGTGTGAATGCATTATCTCGTTCGATTCTGGAATGAGAAAAGAATGATATTTTAAAATACAGAATTCAAGTCTTAACTTGTTTCTTCAGTCTCTGCACTGACATGGATTCTCTTGCAATTAAATTCAATGACAATGATTCAAATAGAGCACAATTCTGCTTCTATTATTGGGTGGGATATGCAGCATCATTAACAAGGCAGCATTTGTCGCTCGTCCCTAATTGCCCTTGAACTAATTGGCTTTCCAAACCATTTCAGAGTCAATTACATTTCTGTGGGTCTGGAGTCCATCTATAGCCAGATCAGGTATGGTCAGCAGAAATATCACCCTAAAGGGCATTGGTGAACACAATGGGTTTTACTTCCAATAACGGGCAACACGGTTACCATAAACCAGCATTTATTTATTATTTTGGTTATTTTTAAACTTGAATTCAAATGTCAAAATCTGCCATGTCCCCAGAGTATAAGGCTTCAGCTATGTGTAACCAGTCCAGTGGAATTACCACTCCACCACTGCCTTCCCCATTAGCAAAAGTATCTATGTAGGTGTTGCAAAGACATTGTCCTTTTACCTCTGGAGCTTGAGCTCAATTCCAGTTCAGTTGGCTCTTACATGTTAACAGAATTTGCTTTGAAATTTTCACTGATCTAAAATTGTGAGTCAAATCAACTGAATGGTAGAATGAGCTTGAGGAGTTGAATGGCCCAGTAGCAGCTATTTTGAATCTATGGTTGTTTGAATTGTCTCCGAGAGAGGGAGATGTGCTGTGTGGAATAGATTCTCAAAATCAGTGGTCTATGGTCGCCCTCTGAGTGTGACTATCTTCCCATCTGAAAAAGGGCCCCTTGGCTGAGGGGCTAATGGTGCCCTCGGAGCTGTACCCAGTGGGTGTCATTGTTTGCAAAGGTGAAATTAAACTGTATTCCTTTCTAAATGTGAATGATGGCAATAAACGAAGAGATGAATATCATATTTTATGTTGGAAAGTGATAGCGGATGGAGCAGCAATAGAGTGGTCAGGGATGTGGGCAGTGGTGGGAATGATGAATGAGAGACTATGCAGTTGAGGCACAATCCCGCTTTCCTGTCTCTTTGGGAATATCAAAATAATTTGTTTTAAAGAACATAGTTTTGTTTTGGTGGCTGATGCAGTAGATGCTTAGGAAGCTGAAGAATCTGAAGCAAAGCAATTAGGTCCTTGCTTCAGTTGAATATCTCAGGCTTCCTGGAGGTGGTCTGTTACAGTTCACTTGGATTTGGAGTTGCTGTGGTAACATTCACTTTTACATGCAGACTGTAGTCCAGAGCTATGGGCAGTGATGGTAGAGGCTCCAAACCTCTGTCCATCTCATGGCTGACCAGCAGAATCCCTCCTCTTATCACTGCCATCAGCATGTATTAGAAGGATTGGGACAAGTTAAAACTCAAACTGATTGGCCACACTGTGAACACTGGAGTGGGATTCAAACATTTAACATCTTGTTGAGAGGTAGGGATGTGACCTGTAGTGCCACATGACTTTGTATCTGGTTTCCTAAAGGGAGCCCAAACAAGTGTGAGACCCCTCACTAACATATTAAATGGACCTAACTCCTGAATAAGGTGGCTGCACTATGAATGCACCTCCTTCAATCAATTTGTGGAGTGGGACTTAAACCAGAACCTGACTCTGAGGCAACAATGCTACCCTCTGCACTATAAGAACTTCATTTGCCCTCCTGTATTGAAGGCAATGAGGGAACAACTGATAGGAGAAAGGGGGTAGCAAAGGAAGGACAGTGGATTGACACCCAAGAAACTATTTTGTTTCATGACATTTATGAAGGCCCTTAAACAGGGTTTGCAATTATTCATTTGGTGGCAGAGATGCTGGCCTGGTAATCTCAAAGGTCACTGATATCAATAACAGCCCTTACTGCAAGACAGCAGGTCTGTGAGTGGCGGATAATACACAGGAGTGTTATTATGGTGTGTGGGGATCTACAGTGGAGTGTTGGGGGTATTGAGGAGAAGGTTGAAGGAGAAAAAGAATTGACGCTGATGGTCTCCTAGTTCTGCACCTTTGGGTGTTGGGAGATTTTCTGGCACCATTTGCTGCCGCCATGTAAATGGAATGTGAGAAATTCAAAATCCACAAAAAATTCGCTCAAGATTCCACAAGCTGAAGTGAGATAGACAACTACATAAATAGTTTTCATAAAGTTGTTTGAGGATTTAAGCAACTCCAAGAGAAATCCCTTTCCTTCTTTGAACTGTGCCACAGATGCAACTGAGATACAAAAGGTTAACAGCTCATCTGAAAAATTGTACCTTTGACAAGGTGGCATTTCTTCACTGAGCTGGTAATCTGAGCTTTGTGCTCAAGTTGCACTCAGTTGGTAGCTGTCAAGTCTTTGAAGAATGAAGGATCCCTGAGCCCCAACTCAGCTGAGATTGCTGGCACTGAGTCAAGTATATTACTGTACATTAGACAGGGTACATTGTAAATCAGAACGCCAAGAACGGTTAGTATTAGACACTTGAGAAATGCAAATTATAGACTTTATCAATTCTATGTGATCACAGTAGCTTCATGGGATCCACCTATGTGGCTCACAAAAGCAATTACCCGCACAGTCTGCCGCCACTGGAGTTCATTTGTGTGAAGGGCTCAGCTTTATCTGTTCTTTCTCCCTTTGTTCGTGCAAAAGCTGGTCACTCGCTTCATGTCACAGGTAAATCCTCCTTAAATCTCCTTCGCCCTAAGCTGCTGCTGTCAAAGTTTAGTCTCAAATCCTGGATTGTACTAGTTACCAGGCTTCGTAAAATAGAAGGTTACTTAACCTAGTTTGTTGGCATCATAATTACCGTATTTTCTTAAATATAGGTCACATCTTCTCAATCCTGTGTAGGAGTAAGTACCATTTCCTCTTATTGGTTTGGATTGAACTTTACAGTGGACCAAGTTATGTTATATAATATTATCTTACAGTATGTAACCTTACATATGATAATACTTCTAACGCAACAGGCTCATCACCACCTTCATGAGGCAATTAATAATGTATAGTAAATACTAGCTTTGCCAGTGTTATCCATATTGCCCACAATGAAGAATAAAAGTACCACTTGCTTACGTTACTTTTAAAAGTAACTCAGTACCCCCTGTTATTCAGTCCTCCCACTATTATGGCATTATGTTTGATAAGAGAGAAAGTAGTAGTGGGCCTACAACTAAATATGACTTTCACAAACCCTAAAGCCAACCGAAAGTGGTACCTTATTCATTTACCTAATAATTTAATGACAACCTCAATATCCCAGCTTAACATTGTCATTCTGCTTTTTTCCTATATTCTCCCTTCCACTCTCAAAGGCACTGACTTTTCTATGTTTTCTTGGATGAAGGAATAACTCTGCTGCAGTTGTGGCCTCCTTTCTGCTACCTCATCCATTTCCCACTGCAGGACAATGAGTCTTAGTAGGCTGTTCGACTGCAGATGGCATCACAAATAAGCCCAACCCTGCTCTCTTGTAAGGTTTAAGCAATTCCAGCTACACGCAGGAGCTCAATTCCTCTCAACCTGAGAAACTGAGGCCCAGTTGTAACAACCTTGTTGCTGTTCAGAGCCCTGATTAAGCAAAAACGTGACAAATACTGTAGTTGAACTGAGCCCAATCTTGTCTATGTGGTTCAGTAACATGCCAGAAGGCAATTGTACCCCACCCTACCTCAGGCATCATGTTTATCACCTGCGTAAGTCTGAAAGTCAAATTGCTTTTAAGCAGGAGTTGACAATATGAAATACAGCAATGGTTCTCCTGTTTAAGGTGGTCTGGAATTCACATAGTCCTGTTCACAGTTGTACTCTGATATGAGGGCTACATTGTTTGTCTGTTGAGCCTGAGGATGCTGTTCTATGAATCCCTGGGCCTCAGTTCACTGGCTGGCAGACTGTAGGGTGAAGTTAGAGCTTGTGGTCATCCCAGCAATATTTGTGGTAGTGAAAGGCCATATTGAACTGTCAGCCACACCAGTTCATTTTCTCAGTCTCTTCTTGTACAGAAACCGTCAGCTTCCAACACTCATTGTAGTAGCGTAAGGGCTGGTGAAATCTCAACTCCCAATATTCTATAGGACAGCATTACTCAGAGAGACTAATGAGTGAGAGTCCCTGGATAGAATTGAGACCTCCAATAAATGCTCTTTGAAAACACCATAGCTAATGGTTGGCTTTAATGGTTTAAGAGGAGACATCCCTTTGTAGGCCCCTTTTCTGATGAAGGGTCTAGGCCCGAAACGTCAGCCTCTCTGCTCCTATGATGCTGCTTGGCCTGCTGTGTTCATCCAGCCCTGCACCTTGTTGTCTCGGATTCTCCAGCATCTGCAGTTCCGACTATCTCTGATTCAATTCTCCCCTCCTCTATTGAATGGTTCTTGATCCTGGCCACTAGGAGGAGCATCTTGGAGCAAGAGTTTCTCTGTGTGAGAAGTGGGATAGCCATGTTATCATTAACCTTGCCTGCTCTTCATCCAGTAGTTTTATTATTCTAGCCATCACACTCCAATTGTTTGCTCAAATTCGTTATATTTATATGTTTCTCAGTCCTAATGGTGGTCATCAACGTAAAACATTAACAAACACACACACGCACATACATACATACACAGAAACACACAAACAGAAACACACACATATATAGACAAAAGCCCACACACTCATTCACACACATACGCACGCACACACAGTCATTGCAAAGACACACATGCACTTATACACACACAAACAGACACAAACAGTGATTGCAAAAACACACATGCACTCATAAACACACACACACACAGACATAAATTGCAAAAACACACTCATTCACACAGACACACACACATACAAACACTAGGTTGCACTTACATTGTACAATATATTTTCTACAATACAGGGCATTCATTTCACAAACGTCATTTGTTTTCCTTTACTTTGGAAATGATTTGCCGGTCTTATCCCTATTACAGTTGCATCCTGTTGCAGAACAGTATGGAAACAGGGATCAGTCAGGCTCCAGCGCTATCACCAGCTCTGCTCCAAAAACCAAAACAGATATCACAACCTCTTCCCTTTGAACTGCTTGAGTTCCTGATGGAAAACCACTGGAAGCAGGATGGACAAATCAAGAGAATAGAAGGCAAAGTTTGAGTAGATACTGGGACAGGTAAAGAGATGAGGGATCCCAGTTACCAGGACAGTCTGAAGAGGATGGGATTTTTCTCACTAGAATAGAGAAAGCTAAGAGGAGATTCAATACAGGAAATAAACTGCTGTCATTAGCTGAAGAATTAATAACCAGAGACCACAGATGGTAGGTGAATGGCAATGAAAAGGCAATATGAGTAAAAACATAGTAACAAGCAGCAAGGACTGGGGATGCAGCATCTGATAGAGAGATGAATAATAATGTCAAAGCAGACAGGCTTGAAGGCTGAAAATTGAAGAAGGAGCTGGAGTATGGGATTATGCAAATGCCAGTCCAGGCTCAATGGACTGATAAAGGAAACTCAATACCTTCCTTTAGTGCTGTATGAATTCTACAATTCTATGCTTAAATTGGCTGAGCACTGCCTCAACCACATAGACCAGGAAGAGCCCAGGTTGGATTTCTGGCCCCTGCTGAATTGGTTGGTCTCAATGCAAGGGTGGAGGAGGTGTACAAATTAACTCTGCATCTTACACCATCATGAAGGTCAGAGGTCAGCATTCACACCCCTGACCATTGAGAATAAAAGTGCTGATACAGGAAGGCACTGGCTTGGCAAAGGAAAAGGTCCACAGCTGCTCACAGCCTCAGGGCTTTTCAAAGGGCTTCAGTCATTGAACCCTTTGAAGGGTCATCAGAGTTTTGTAACTGAGGAAATAAACCTGTACACAGCAAGACCACACAAACAGGAATGTGACAGTGACCTGCTAAATTTTTTTCAGTGAGGTTGATTGAGGGAGAAATATTAGCCAGTCCATCAGGGAGAGCCCCACTGCACTTTTTTGGAACAATGCACTTGAAATGTTGAAAGCCTCATCCAAAAGTCTGCTCCAGCAACCACATAACACTTCCTCAGCACTGTACAGGAGCGTCAGATTAGAGTTTGTGCTAAGGTCTCCACAGTGGACCCACAATCACCATTGACTCCTGATAGTAGGTCCCTGATAATGGATCTTGAATAAAACAAAGTTGTTTCTCAAGGCAAGGTTCTCCTTTCAATGAAATCACAGACCTTTTTAACGGAGAATGAGGAGGAGCCAGCATGACCTGACATAAAGTTAATCATAACCCCACTGCCGTGTGCACACTCTCATTAGCCATCTTGTCAGATGTTTCAGCCTAGACACCATTACACACCTGCTATGGTGAACAGGGCTTTCAGCCTTTTGCTGCTGCTACCGAATGATGAGTTGTTTACACTAAGCATTCCCAGATGAAGGACACTTTGAGGGCTCAGAGATGAGAAGGGAAGAGAAGGGCCATTGCTCAGAGGAAGGCAAAGGAGGACAAGGGAAGGCAGAAGATGTTCTGCAGTGTTAAGACCCTGAGTCATCTTGAGTTAGAATGAGAGACACAGAGACTTAGAGAGAAGAACAGTATTCAGAGGGCTCTTGGGTTTACAAGAAATATGACAAGATGACAGTTTAGCAGATCATTGTCTATAGTAGTATCAGTAAAACAAAGTGATGGGAGAAAAGGTGGAAAAGCAAAGAAGAAACAGATTATTAGAATGTGTAACTAAAATACAGAATGAAATTGCGCAGAAAAAAGATTAAGAAATGCAGGGCCTAATTTAACATTTTATATTTGGTAGTATAATCACTAATAAGAAAATGCGCACAATGCTAGTGCCATTAAATATGGGCATGTTCTTTACAATTATAGACACTAGCACAGTTATTATTCTGAATGATTTCTCCCTCTGCTCCAGTATTCTCTCCGCCTCATTATCCTTGTTGGTTCTGACATTTGCTGAAATACAGTTGCCAAGGTGTCAACTGTCCACTAGTATCTTGCCCAGGCAACCATGTATTGGGTGACATCAATCTATTTGACTACAGAAGGCATCGTGCTTGAACTTGTCTCACCTGGAGTCTACAGATGTAAACGTCCCAGAAGAGGTCAATGTGCAGTGATCACAAGCAGGAACCCTGACTAATCATTTCCCTTTGTCAGTCCAGGAGCAGGGAAATCACTTATTTAACATTGGCTCAGATCTGCTAACTGCACAAAGATTGAGAGTTAAACCTCAGACCAGCATGGTCTGTATTGTTCCTTGCCACACCAGTCAGTGCATTATTTCAGTTCTTCCATTAATGCACAAATAAATTACATTTGTGCTTCACAATGGTTTTCAAACAGCATGATCTAAAATAACTGTTAACATTTACTAAGTACTTTATCCATACTGAGCTGTGAAATTGTTTATATATATGTATGTTATACATATACATTTATACATATGTATAAGTATGCACCTCAGAGTAGAAGGGTTTTTGTGAGTTAACTGAAAGCTGAAAATTTCACTAAAACACATGGGCACTAATGTTTAACACTGATTCATCTCATGCATACACTGTAACTTCAAAAAATTAATCCTAACTTGTATTTATCCTTAAAAGTGCTCTTCAGGTTTTCTATGCTTTCCTTTTCAATCCCTTTAATTTCTGGTGAGGCACTCACTTTTCCTCCAGCAGCTGACGCTGGTATTCCTCAAACTCTTCCCTTGTCATTCCTGTGCTTTTTGCAGTTGGCTTTCCATCTCCTTCCTCTGTCGTCGCCTCTTCTCCTCCTCCTCCTCCACCAACTCCCAGATCTTTCATTTTCCCGCTAATCATAGTTTTGAGGAAGAATGTCATTTTGGCAGAAACTGGTCTGAAATTACAGGGAGGAAAGGCAGGCTCGTATTAAGTGGAGCAGCGAGTGTCTGAAGGACAGATAAGCCTTGAGTGTAATTGGTAGACATCGAGATAAACGGCTTAACTCATTATAAGTTGGAACAGTAAACCAGTGGCCTCTTTTTGCACTCAGGTCTGATGGCCCATTATCTCTGGTTGCAAGGCTGCCTAGGAAGATGGTGGCATAGTGGAATAGTGGACTAGTAATCCAGGCTACTGTCCTAAGGGCAGGGGTCAAAATCCCACCACAAAATTTGAATCCAAGAAAATCTGGAATTAAAAACTAGTCCAAAGACAACTGCTGTAAAGACCCATCTGGTTCTCTAATGTCCTTTGGGGAAGGAAATCTGCCATATTTACCTGCTCTGACCAACATGTGACTCCAGACTCACAGCAAATGTGATTGATTGTTAATTGCACTGTGGGCAATAAGTGCTGGTCAAACCAGCAATACCCACATCCCATCAACAATATATTTTTTAAAAATCACCATGTTTGAAAAGTACACTGCATAAGTGCTGATATTTTACTTTTATTAAAATGTATTGGTTTGTGGGATGTGGGCCTTGCTGCCTAGGCCAGCAAATATTGCCAATCTCCAATTGCTCTGGAGTGGTTTACCCCATTATCATTTGCAACATTCAGACAAACAAAAAGGTAATTTCCTAATTCAAGGCAACCCATGAAGGATTTGAATTGAATAAATAAAGAAATACTGTTTCCATTGGGAGAAGGGTTAGTAAACAAATAACACAGGTCAAGATAATAGGCGATGGTCTTGTGATATTATCGCTGGACTGTTAATCCAGAGATCCAGGTAATGATCTGGGTTCAGCATCCCACCCTGCAGATGGTAGAATTTGAATTCAATAAAAACCTGGAATGAAGAGTCTAATCATGATCATGAATCCATTGTTGATTTTCAGGAAAAATCTATTGCCATCCTTACCTAGTCTGGCCTACACGTGACTCCAGACCCACAGTAATGTGGTTGATTTTTAACTGCCCTCTGAGCAATTAGGGATGGGCAATAAATGCTGACCTCGCCAGCAACACCCTCATCCTGTGAATGAACATCGAAAAAAAATCAGCAAAGAACCAGAATTGCAACTGAGACTTGGGAGTGTACTGGAAAAGGAAACATTTGCAGGGTTCTAGGAAAAGATACAGCAGAGGGACACTAACTGGAGAGTTGACACAGGCACAATGGGGCTGAATGGCCTCATTCTTCTAGCCTGTAAGGTTCCAGGGTTTTCTGGCAACTGAATTCAAATTCTCAAACTGCTTTTGTGGGATTTGACCTCATGTGCTCTGGCTCATTAGCTTAGGCTTTTCTGTATTACTAATCCAGTAGCATAATCACTTCACTATCGTATCTAAATTAAAAACTACACACCGCAGATCCCAGAAACCCGGAATAAAAATGCTTGGAAACACTCAGCAGATAGCAGTGCCTGTGGATGGAAAGGAATCGTGGGAATGCCTCAGGTCAATTATCTTTCATTAGAATCAAAGACAATGGATGATTAAATCTGAGCAGAGAAAAAGACAAACGATTTACTGTGGCGACTTATAGTGATTGAACACAAGTACGGCAAGTCATGAGGAAAGGTTATAGAGTTATCATTTATTGTGAGGAAAGTTGAATATAAAAGCAGGGAGGTCATGCTTCAGTTATATATGGCATTGGTGAGACCACATCTGGAATACAATGCTCAGCATTGGTCTGCTTATTTAAGAGAGAGTGTAAATACATCAGAAATAATTCAGGGAAGATTTACTAAATTAATACCTGGTATGGGTCGGCTGCCTTCTCAGAAAAGATTGGATTGGCTGGGTTTGTATCCTTTGGAGCTTAGAGGGCAAGAGATGACTTGATTAACATGCGGAAGATCTTGTGGGGTCTTGCAAAGATATATGTGGAATGGGTTTCCTATTGAGGGAGAATCAAGAACTGTTTTGAAATAAGGGATTGCCCTTTTTAAACTAAGAAGGAGAAATCATTTTATCACAGAGGGTCATGAGTCTTTGGAATGCACCTCCTCAAAAGGTGGTGGAAGCAAACAGTTTGAATATTTTTAAGGCAGAGATGCATAGATTCACGATAAGCAAGGGGCTGATATACTATTGGGAGTTGGATGGGAATGTGGAGTTAATCAGATCAGCCATGGTCTTATTAAATAGCAGAGTGGACAGCTCCTGTATGTTATTCACAGGGTCGTGTCTTAGTGAGGAGCAGCTTTTGGATCAAGGTAAAACTTCCCACCATCCTGTAATATTGTCAAAGCGAGTGAAAAATGTCCTAACAGCTGAAGTCCCTTTCCATGGTTGTAACCATTCATCCCTGTACATCCTACTGAAGCTCTCTTGGAGTTTATTCATTATTTTCCTTGAATATTCCAATGTTTTCCTGACCAACTTCTCATCTTTCACCCTCTAAAAATATAACCTCATCCAAACTTCTTCAACCCATCTATTTACCAGTGCCAAATCCCAGTCACCTATCACTCCTGTACATGTTACATTGATTCCCAGTCCCTCAACACTTTCATTCTTAAGTTCTGAACATCAAATCCTTCCACAGCCTCTCCCTTCTATATTTCTGTAACCTATTTTAGTCCTGAAACTCACTGGGGAATCTGTATCCAATAAACTCCACACTATGATACCAGTACGATTTCCTTCTCACCATTATTGTGAGGTTATACCTTCAGCTGTTGAGACTCTGGATTACCTACATAACCAGTCCAATTCTCTGACCTCCTTTAAATATAGAAACAGAGCAAATAGGGGCAGGAATAGGCAAATCAGCCCTTTGAGCCTGCTGTGCCATTCAACATGATCACGACTGATCTTTCAACTCAGTGCCCTGTTCCCGCTTTCTCCCCATATCCTTTGATCCCTTTTGTGCTAAGAACTGTATGTAACTCCTTGAAAACATTCAATGTTTTGGTCTCAACTACTTTCTGCAGCGGAGAATTCCACAGGCTCACAAATCTCTAGGTAAAGAAATTTCTCCTCATCTTAGCCCCAAATGGTCTGTCCCGCATGATTAGTCTGTAACCCCTGGTTCTGGACTCGCAAGTTATCTTATTTCCAACTTATTTTTTAGACACTGTAAGTAATGCTACTGTTCTTCCTTTTATTCCTCTTTTGTATCCAAGATTTGTACCAAGCTTCTTGTACTTGAGATGATGCCATTAGAAGGCAGCCATTGTAAAAACTTTTCACTGTACCCCTATACTGGAGTACACATGATAATAAAGGATATTCTAGACTATCTTTCTTCCATTTATCCAGTTAGAATTTTATAGGTTTTTATGAGATCCCCCACAATCTTCTACACTTCAGTGAATACAGTTCTAACTGATCCAATACTTCTTCATAAGTCAGTTGTACCATGCCGGGAATCAGTCTGGTAAATCTTCATTGCCCTCCCTCCATAGCTAAAATATCGTTCCTCAGATAAGGAGAGTAAGAGTGCACACAATACTCCAGAAGTGATCTCACCAAGACCCTGTACAAGTGCAGCAAAACAGTGCTGCTTAAGACCCTACTTAATGACACCTGCTGGCAAGAGGCACTGGACGTGTGAAGGAGTTTGATTAGATCAAGCTTAGATGTTGTGATCTGCCAAGATTGACTGATCTTGCATCATTTGCTATTCATGTCATACTCCAGGGGCTTGAGCACTTATGATGGTAGAGTGGACATTGAGCTTCTTCCAAGAGTGCTGAGCATTCCTCCAGGTGACTGATGCTGCACTGACCCATGCCGTGTCATTAGGTTGGGAATGGTCTGGTGACATGGCCTTGATGACTTGTCCTAAGAAGTTGAGAATGCCACTGTGCCCTACCTAATCCAGCAGGACCTGTATCCCCATGGTTTGGCACTTTGCTCCCTCCAAAGTCCTCTGAAACTCAGCTTTATGTCTCTACAAATTTGCTTACTGCTTGACCCCTAATCATAATGCTCTATTGTACATACATCTTAATGAACCACCAAGTGACAATATATTACATTAAGCAGGTCAATAACCAGAGGTTGTAGTTTTAAAATAACTGGCAAGATATTTAGAGAGAAGGATTAGGAGAAATTATTTCAGTCAGAGAGATGCCAGGGCCCGGCATGACAAGATGGTGGAATCTGATTCCATCAATAATTGAATGTATTTGGATTGTAACTTGAAGATGACAATCTCACAGTGTTACAGTGACAATCAGCAGGGATGAGAAACTAAGTACCACTGCTCTTTGAAAACATTAACACAGATATAATGGACAAATGGCCTTTTCCTGGCATGTAAGTCTCCATGATTCTATTCTATGATTATAAACATAAAAATTTACATTCTTAAACAATTGGAACCAAATAGATATTAGATTTTTCCCTGAATTAAAGTATGTTTCGATTGGTACAAAAAGACCAAAAGTTAATACTGCAACAACAATTTATATCTATTAACATAAGAAAATGTCCCAAGTCATTTCACAGGGCCATTATAAAATAAATTATGACAGCAAGCCACACAAGGAGGTTCTGGGCTAGATAGCTCAAGTCTTAATCAAAGAGATGAGTTTTAAGGAGATTTGTTTGAAGGCAGAAAGTGAGATAGAGAGATGGAGAGATGTAGGGAAGGAGTTCCACAGTTTGGGATTGACATAACTGAAGGCACATTCACCAATCATGGAGCAATGATAATTGCAGATACACCAGGCCAGAATCGGAGAAATACTGATATCTGGAAGGGTTGTGGGATTGGTGGTGATCACAGAGTTAGAGAGCTATGGTGGGTTTTGAAAACCAGCATGAGCACTTTAAAGTCAATGTTCAGCTGGGAATCAATGTAAATCAGCAAGCACAGTGTGATAGGGGAAATGGGATTCGCTGTAAGTTAAGACACAAGCAGCATAATTTTGTATTACCGCAAGTTTACAAAAGGTAGAATGTGGGGGACCAGGTTATAGATTGGAATAG